CCCCAAAACCCCAAAACCCCAAAACCCCTTGTTCCATCCCCTGAATTGAAACTCCATCATAACAGTATGTATCCCAGCCAGAACAAACTTCCACAAATTATTCACTCTTAGTACATAAATCCATCTATGTTGTCTTTTCCTTGGGGATTTCATTATGATTGTTGCTTATGATTTTCTTCAGTACTTGGGCCAAGAGTTCTCCTCATCATTAACTTTTGAGTTGTAATATTTTGATTCAAGATATACAGCTAAAGGAGAAGGTCAATTAGATTCAAGATTGTCTGGTTTGGAGTTTGAAGAATTGAGGTTTATAGGTTTGGAGTTAAGAGAAGAGGATTTGGAAGTGTTTTAAGTGTGTGAAAGAGAAGTTGGGGATAGAAATTAGACTTCTAATTAAATTTCACTTAAAATAACTCAGCACACCTTCATTCTACTCTTGCAAGCTTTTTAAATCAGGAAACTTTCTCGATATACTGGTATTCCAAATATTTGAATTTACTTGAGGACAAGGAAAACTTAGTTGGGATAAATAATTTATTTAGATCGAATTATTGTTCAGCTATATAAGATAACAGCTTAGGCCTAAACAGATACATAGAATATTCCCTAATTAAGGCCTACCTAACAAATAATTTATAGGGCAGGAAAAGAAGAACAAAAATATGACAACAAATGACTAAGAAGTCCTCAAGATTTATAGGATCAGCTCTAAATGTTTAATGAGATGGATTTTAATAAGGAATTGGAAGAGATGGGACACTGGCGACTTTTTGCCATGCAATAATATTGGAAGATTATAGCAAGAACTTCTACTGATTTTTCATATAAGAAGGAATGTTAAAAAGAGATATTCCAGGTACAAAGATAGGTGATTATTTTGATACCTCTGATAAGGTAAGCAACTCTAATTAAGTTTTCTCATTTTATATAGATTCTTCTTTAGCCATATAGGTATACTCACAAATACTAGAAGAAAGCTCTTCCAGTCTAAATTTCTGAATAACTTGGTCAGTGTCTTTCTTACAATAATTAGAGAGATCCCCTATTCAAGAGATTTCTTATCTCTGTCTGTAGAGCCCAAACTTAACTAAATAAAAAGCTCAGAAAAGAAGAATCAAGCTACAGAGGTAATTTTCATAAATTTCTAGACAAAATAATGGATAATATGGCGCAAGTTTAACTTATAAATTATATAAAGGAGAAGTATAAGTTCAGGTTATACATCGGTTTTAGGTTTAGTGTCTTTTATTTCAGACATTTCAGAAAATGGTCAAGGGAAAATAAGTATCTTTGTATTCCTTTATATACTAGTGTAATTAATTCGTTACCTTTATCATCTCTTTCTAATTGATTCTCATTATCTGATAGTGAAGTATCCTCCTGAATATAAATATTATCTTCTTCGAAAATTTCATCATGTTTATTTTCCTCAAATGATTCTTTTACTCAATCATCAAAATTTCTCATTGGTCTATTTTCACTGAACTTATCTTTCTCATTTCTAGCAACCTCCTTCTTTTCAACCACTTTGGCAGGTCTTGTTTTATCCATTTGTTTCTTATTTTCTTCAGGTTTCTCTGATGCCTAAATGAAAAGGATTTAAGAGCCAAGGTGACAGGGAAAGAAGGTGCGTACTGGAGTAGGAGATTGGGATAGATTTTTAAACTGAGGAAGGGAGGGTAATGAGCTTGAAGTGACATTGGGGAAGAGGGTTGAAGTAGTGTGATTGTTGCTAGTATTTTGGTTCTGATCTTCTTTGAGACTCTCGAGCTTCAACTTGTACTGGATAAAGAGTTTTTCTTTTAGTTTACAATATTCTTGTTCAAGTTCTTCTAATTTGTTTTTGAAGGGCTCTACATTAATTAAGTAAGTTTTAATACTATCTGCAAGCTCAGTGACTCCTTTGTTAATAAGCTTGTGAAGAAGGTCTCAGGCAAATTCTTTGTAAAGATCTGATCTTTTCATTTTTAGAAAGAATCTAGAGTGGTGAAATTGATAGTTAATGGACAATCGTAAGAATTTAAAACTGTAGCTTACCATTTTAGCTTGCTTTTGATCTCATCAAATTAAAAAAATTCATCCTCTCTGACTGCCTGCATTGTTTCAAGTTTCATCTGATCCCATTCTTCCTCAAATTCTTTTAATCTTTCAGCAAAATTTGGAACTAATTGCATATTATTTTGCTTCTTATGATAAGAGAAAACATTAAAAGCTGACTCTATATTTCTCATCCATCCTTCCAGCTTATTCGTATGTACTATAGGCACTACCTTCTTTTCATCCTCCCTTTCCTCAAGTGGCTCCTCGCACTCAAAGTGCTATATCAGTCATCTCCATCAAAACAACTATTAATTTACAAAGTTCTCACAACAGCTGGAGCAGATGATCATTTGGTGAATTTCACAGAAATATTCTCTTGGGTTAACGCAACCGATTACTTCGCAATCCATTCTAGAAGGTGAAGAGTAAGAGTACCTTAATTTTCTTTGGGAAGCAAACAACATTTTTGGAATTAGGCTTAGTATAAATAAAATATAATCGTGAGATTAGTTACGGGGTTTTGGGGTTTTGGGGTTTTGGGG